GTGGGAGCTAAAAATAAATAAATAAATTCACACACACACACAAAATCCGGGGGGGGGAGGGGGCGATGAAGAAGACTTAACAACTACAACTCCTTGAAGTTGATACAACAAGCAAATAGAAAGGACACTGTTGGGTGGGAGGGGGGAGAGGGAGGAGGGAGGTGGGTTTCGGTAATGGGCCACAATAATCAACCTCATTATATATCGACAAAATAAAATTTAAAAAAAAAAAAAAGAAAGAGTTCAGGTACAAAAAAAAAAAAAAAAAGAAAAAAGAAAAAAATTCACATTTCCTAGGTCTGCTCATTAAAAAGGAAAGAAAATAATAACCAATCTAGTAACAATAAGCATCCCTAGTACACAAATTTGGTCTCTAAATAGCCATTAAAATGAATTAGAGCTCCTTGAAGAAATGGATGATTCTAGCTCAGGGACAGGAAATACACGAAATGGGCCTGAAACATCGTGCCATGCCAAAAAGCAAGGGAGTTTACAAAGACCACTAAGGTCATGTCAAAAAGAAAGCAGCCAAGCTGATGGACATCCAACTAGACAAAGATCAGACAATTTGAATGTAAGCAGAATAATGCAAAAGATTGAACACATCAAATATGCTAAACATCCACAAATTTATGATGGTAGTAAAAAAGCAAAATCTTAAGGGGTTGCTAGAAAGGAACTAATTCCAAAAACAATAAAGAGAAAGGAGAGTATTTATCCTGCCTTTCCTTTGTGAGCCACACTGGGTTACCAAATAGGTGATGAGAAAATGTTTTCCTTTAGAGATGAATTCTATCTAATAATGAAGGAAGGAATGAATGATAAAATTAGAATATCACCATTTCATCATCCTTGTGAAATGAACGGATTTACATAATGGTCACCAATGGTGCTAAATCATTAGGTGAAGGGCTAATTGGAAACTTAATAATGGATGGATCAGCCTTAGCCCAAAGAGAAATAGCCAGACATTATGTACCCTCTGATGTGGAATTACAGAATAGCATCCAGGAAGTATTCTTACCAAAAAAACAGAACCTAAATCTGAGCAAGCCTCTAGATCTAACTACCAATTAACAGGAAATTCAGGAAACAGAGGAACATTAAATGATACCATGGGGCTCTAGCAAAATTCAGAAAGTGAAAAACTCTATCTGACAAATAAATCAGTGTTTTCAACAAAAAATTACCAAAAAAAAAAAAAAGATGGAAAGATAACGATAAATTTAAAGAAACAGATCAAAAGATTGCAATGTATAAGCTTTATTTGGATCTCGAAAACTATATTAGAAATCTGTAAGACAAATAGAAGTGAAAATGCTAACTATTGAAACAAAGTGATTATTTACAGATGAATCAATATGATGTCTTGGATTTACTCCAAAATAATCCAAGTGAGGGCAGGGGTGGGTATAGAGGAAACAAGATTGTTCATGAGTTGCTAACTGTTTTAGCTGGATGATGAGTACATGGAAACCCATTAAAGGATGCTCTCTACCTTTTTATATGTTTTAAATTTTCTAAAGGATAATCCTAATTAACAAACGAATTGAAACAAATCAACCAGTGTTCATAGTGATACTAAAAAAAACCCCAAAACACTCATCATGCACCTTTAGAGCAGAGTTTCTCAACTTAAGCACTACTGATATTTTGAGCTGTATAGTTCTGTGTTGTAGGGACTGTCCTGTGCATTATAAGATGTTTACCAGCATCCCTGGCCTTTACCCACTAGATTCCAGTAGCACCCCAGCCCCCTATATGTGACAACCAAACGTATCTCCAGACACTCCAGATGTCCTGCAGGGGTACAATTGTCCTCCAACCCCCCAATAAGAACCACTGCTTTAGAGGATGCTATTCACAATTTTGAGAACTGGTAAACACAGTTAATTCTCATACTTCACAGTGGTTGTGTTCTATGAAGTTTCAGTAAAAACTGAATTAGTGAATATTAAACTAGTAGGAAATAAAGGGTTAGGTTCCTATAAGCCTATGGTTACTAGTATATATTTTCATTAACTGATCAACACATAACCTTGCTTTATGTGTGTTTCTATTAAAAGACACTTTCTTTAATGTACATGTTAATTCATTGACATTTAGCTCACCGCCAAGAGCACTATAACTCATGCCTGCATGAAGCTTATCTAACACCTGTGTTTTCTCTGTAAGGCACATCACAGTCTTCTTGCCCTTAGAAACACTAGACAAAACTTTAGCACTATGTTTGGGGGCCACTTTAAATGGCAAAATCAATAACAAAAAGCATAAAAGTGCAAAAAACATGGCACTACACAGACTGCGAAAAGGATGCTGTATTATGAGTGCTGAAACAAGAAGGCAGAGCATCACCTTGTTCAGTCTCTGCTGGGAACGTGCACGTCACCAACTAAAATTTTTCACTACTCTGGACATGTCCATGAATGACTGCGGAAGGACCACAAATATTGATTTTGGGGTTATAAATTTTAGCAAGTAGATGATTTTGCAAATATAGAATCCATGAATAACGAGGATCAACCACATGGAGGAAAAATCAATACTTAGCCTGCCTTTCTTGTATAAACTGTACCTCAGGGTAACCAAACAATTGATGAGAAAAAGGTTTTCTATATAACAAAGTTCCAACTAAAAATAGAGGAGGAATGACAGAATTAGAATGTCACTATTTTGTAGCCCCACTGAAATAATAGATATAGGCAATAATCATCAATGGCTACTAAACCCATTAAGTGAATGGGTGACAAGGTAATTAGCCTTTTCATGGATAAATTTGGCTACCAACACAGTATCCAACTGATTAATTTTTATGGCACAAAAGATAACCAAAATTTCATGTCTCCTATTATGATAAAATCAGAAGTTCAAAACATCACCTATGAAGAATTTGCACCAAAAATATCACTGCTAAATCCAAGTAAAGTTCTCTTTCATGAGAACCCAAGTTAAGCTTATCAAAGATATAGTAAGTAGAAGAAAGCCTTTTTGGGGTTTCCATCAGGAGTAAAATTAAAGAGTGTGAGCTCTAAACCTCTAAGGAAAAGTGAAAATGCAGGAAAATGGCAATTGGAAAATAAAGTAATAAATAAGATCAGTGAGGACAAATGAAGGAATAAATGAGGGCATCGAGGACAACTATGTTTCATCTGTATTACCAAAGTGCCTCCTGTTTTTAGACAATACTCTTTTTACCTGCAAAGACCATTTCCAAAAACGATCATGAGAAAAATCAGCAACAAAACCAAGAAATCACAAAGAGATTACTTTTGCGATAGAGAAGAGCTGGAAGGCAAGGAGAAGAAAGTTATATAAATTATTATAGAACTCTTTCCAGAGCAAAACATTTTCATAAAATGATTAGATATTAACAAGGAAAAACTACACCAGTTCAAAGAAAAACTACCTATTTTATAAAGAACTTAGAATCCTTTCGTGCAAAGTATTTTTGTCTAAAATATTGAAAAGAATGCAGTAGATCTCACATGAAACTATTAGTTGTAATTACCTTGCATGAGGGTTGGAGCCTGCAGCATTTGCTTGTAGTAGGAGTAATACAGTCCACATTCTGTTCTAAATGAGATTTCTCGCTCCACTTCCTGAAACAAAGTTAGATCTACTGGGTTTACATGACCTAGTTTTATTTAAATATGTATCGTCACTGTAGAAACAGGATACGGAACTACAACTTAAAAGAAAAAAATCTCTGAAAACATAGTCTCAAGAAATCTTGGCAAACAAAAATAACAGAAGGCTGATAATTGTTGAAGCTGAGTGACAGATATCTGGGTGTTTGTCCATACCATTCTACTTTTGTCAATGTTTAAATTTTTAAAAATTAAAAAAAAACCCAAAACACACCAACATTCCCATGTGATATTACTGAGACACAAAACAGGGAAAGTATTAAAAAATCTCCCCAATGAAAAGAACTATAATTGCATTAGACAACTGCCTAAAAGCTAACAATAATATATATAATCAATAATTTTCTTTTTATTCTAAGACTAAAAGGTACTCTTAGTCCAATGGGGCAGACCTTCTACATATAAATTTTACTTTGATAAGTGTAACCTTGGTGGAAAGCTGTTCATGTACGTAAATGGACATGTGAAATTTATAAACTGCTTTTAGATAAGTATTCAATCTTAGATGAATTGAAAATCTAAAATAACAGCTAGTAGTCAATTTGGTCGTAAGATGCTTTTATTACATTTAAAATTTAAATCATTAACATAACATATGGAGGCAATGGGCAATGAAGATAGGGAAGGCTTTCTGAAATAATCCTATTAATACTCTTAGATCATACAGTTCATATATATGTAAAAGTATAAATGAACAAAAAGTTATAAACTATGTCATTATACATTCTTTTATCCCAGTATTCAAAAACACCAGATCCCTGAATCTGCAACACACTGTCTAAAACGTAATTCCTTCTACGCTTTTTCATACTGCAGCAGATCCATATTCCACAAACCCAACTTTAATGAGGGAAAACAATAAACACTGAACATCTCACTTTCTAGCTGATGACCTTTTCTTTCTTTTTTTTTTTAGCACATCTTTGTTTTTTCCTACCTCCCACTATTTTTCAAATGGTAATAAACATTTCATTAAAAGAACCACTCATGCTATTTATCTTCAGACTTGGAAACTATTTAATGTATTCCTCTTGCCCTTTAAATATTTCTTTAACTATTTCTCCTATCCTTTAAAAAATGTATTATAAACCAATTCATAAATAAAGTATTGAAGAAACACTCTCTTAATTAACTAAGAATGTAAATATTATAATTTCTGACTCCAAAGAACAAACTATTATGTTTCATTATGGTTAAATAACTCCTTTAGAAAAACAGGAGGTGGGATAACAAACCTTCTTATGAACTTCCTTTCACAGAAAATAAATTTACCCTAAGGAAATAAAGCATTAAAAAAAGGCCCATAAGGTTGTGAAATTTAATTTCATTTGCACACTTGCTTTATAAAAAGGACAATACTGAATGATACAGCTTTTAAAACTTTCACAATTGCTGCTGATTTGTGTTGCGCCTTTCAGAGCAACACTTCTTAGTACCTATGTTAACACATTCATCTTTAGCCTTTGAAAAAAACTGCTCTATTGCTTTTGATGACATAAAATCAAACTGGTATCACCCATTTCTAGCATGTTCAAACTCCTACTTGGTAAAATAACCACAGAGGCTATGAATTGATATTAACTGAGCAAATACTAGCTTTTGTCCATGCAAGTATTTAAAAAAAAAGTTTAATTACATTCCTTTTCTTTTCTATAGCTGCCTTAAAGTGTTCAAAGTACTAACTGTTGCCTTGAATGGAATATCCTAACATCAAACCTACATCCCCAGATCAGGCTGGAGAGCCAAGTCGATTATCCACATGTATGGGCTTCATTTCTATATGGTTCTATGAATAAAAGACTGGGATTATAAAAATTGGGAAAAAGAAAAAAACATTGCTCAAAGAACTAAAAGTAGAAAGTGTTTGTGCCTCACCCCTCTTTAATATACCCAGAATATATAAAGAACAGAGGGGGACTAATTAGTAAAAATGCATTCAAACATGATTAATTGGTAATCTTGGCACCAGCTGTATAGAACCAAATGCTATACTTTATTAGACAGACACTTGCGAGTTTTACATCTGCTTCATGCTAAGAGAACATCTGCTTTACTCATTCAAACACTTTTCCAGTTTTACAGCAATTTATACTTTGCCTGGTGTATCTTGCCAATGAAAATGTACACGAATAAAGTTACCCTCTAAAGAATGGAAAACGAACAAATACTTCATATTTTAATTTGCATAGGTTCCTCAGGGAAAGCAATGTTTGCTGAGAGAATAAAAACATTGTCTCTGAAGATAATGACAAAAAGAACTGGAAAGACAAAAGATTGTATTTTTAAAGAACTGTATAGTTAAAACCATTTAAGTAGTAGTTTATATAGTAATTTAACACAAGTACTAAAAGGAAAAAGCATTAAGAAAAAAAGGCTGCTCATAATTAATGATTTGCATCCTCCCCTCTTGGAATTAAGGCAAATGCTAACAATGCACAAAAGGCTAACATGCCCTTTTAGACAAATGACACCAAATTTGGAAAGAAAACATATCAAATTAGTTTTTAAAAATTTCATGTAAGTAATTTTTGTCTATACAAATTGTCCCCCAAATTGTCCGCTGGTAGTGGAGAAACCACTGAAAGATTAACTTTCTGAATGTCATGTTTCAGAATTAGGTTAACAAATCATCTCACCAAGAAACAGTAGCTCATGATAAGACAGCTGTTCTTAAAGTTCTGTACTGGGAATCATGCCCTCAGCAAACATATTTATGGCACATACATGGTTTATTGTCTGGTTAAATTCATGTCCATCTGTTAGAATGGAATGATTCTTGCCCTAGAGTTATTAAAGTTGTGACACGTGAGAGCTGCCAAGCAGTGTTTGTGAGTAGGCTAGACTACTGCTAAAGTGACAGTACTTCCAATGGGCCTGCAATGAACTGATCAGCAGCAGTCTAAGAATTACTGTAATTACTACTGTGTGAATTAATAATATTCATTCTAAAGACTCTTTGCTTTGCAGGAGTATTCAATGAAAGGACATGAAAATTCTGTGGTATCAAATAAATGAGAGTAACAAGTGTAAAATGTTAGCACAGAAAGACTAAAAATGAGTGAACTGAGTGACTTTAGCCAAATGAGAATTATCCCTCCTTATCACTGAACATGTATTTGCTTGGGAAACAAAAAGGTGTAAGAATTTAGTTCTTGACCCCAAGGAGTTTATGATTCAATGAAAAAGAACAATGCGTTGTAAACAAAAGATGACTATTCAAGGTAACAGAAGTATCAAATAGAAGGAACAAATAGCCTTTTGCCTAAACTATTAAATTAGCTTCTCCACTAGATTCTGTGCTTCTAAGTGGTATCTTCTTCCTCCAATTTATCTTCCTCATTCATTCATTCAACTGATATCTCTTGATAACTAACAAGTGACAAGCGTTTCTCTGCTGGGAAATTCAGCTGGGAACAAAACAGGCAAAAATCTCTGCCTTCATGAAATTTACAATCTAGAGTAGAGGGAGAAGAGAACAAATAAACAAGCAAAACACACACAATGTTAAGATAGTTGTAAGTGCTATGGAAAGTCAAGCAGAGAAGGGGGCAGAGAGGGTAGTGTGTGTGTGTGTGGGGGTGTTGTGATTTTAAAGGTGGGCAGGGAAGGCTTCACTCAAGTGGCTACTGAACAGAAAAATTGAGCCCATGAGCCATGCGGTTACCTGAGGGTAGAGCCTGCCAGACAGAGCAACCCACACGCACACTGAACGGTGAGGAAAGCAGTGTAGCCTAAGTGGTGGAACAAAGGGCAGTTAATAAGGTCTGAGAGTGGCAGAAGAGTCAGGGAGGTAACATGGGGTCAGATCTAGTCTTGTACTCTAGAACTAGAGGCTGTGTTTGTGTGTGTGTATAGAGGAAGTCGGGGGTTTGGTTTTGCCAAGCTAAATTTGAATTTCTGTTTTGAACAGAAATATAAGCTGATCTACATTTTAAAAGATCATACTGGCTGCTGTGTTCAGAACACAGCAAGGGCAAAGCAGGGAAACCAGTAAGGTGGCTACTTGCAGTAAGCCAGGTGGAGATAAACGTGGAGGTTGTGAGAAATGATCAGATTCTAGATACTGTAAAAATAAAGCTGATAGGATTTGCGGAGGGATTCAATGTGGGGTTTGAGAGAACTAGGATTCGTCAACGTTTGTGATCTGAGCCACTGAAGGAAAAAGTTGCAATTTACAAAGACAGTGAAGATTTAAGAAGCACCTGTGGGCTGGGAAGGTCAGGTGTTTGATTTTGGACTTAAGTCTGAAATGCCTATACGACATCCAAATGAAGGTGGCCAGGTAGGTGTTGGATATAAAAATCTGGAGTTCATGGGAGAGGTCTGAGCAGGGCATATACATTTGGGAGTCATCAGCATATAGATGGTATTTAAAGCTACAGAAAAGATTGTTCCTAGAAATAAGGGTGGACAGAAAAATACAAGGTCTGAGTTCTGGGGTTCTCTGCCAGTAAGAGTTTGTGAGGCTGAGAAGCACCCTGTAAAGGAGCCAAAGGATAAGCTGGAGAGGCAGGGGTAAATCCAGGAGAATGTATACTCCAAGCCAAAAAGAAAAAAAAATGCTAATAGACCAAGTAAAATGAGGACCGAGAAATGACCACTAAATTTAGCATCTTGGATATCATCTGTGACTTTAACAAGAACATTTGTAGAGCAGTGTCATTGGTAAAGGCCTGATTGGAGTGGGTCTGAGAGAGAGAAAATCGTAAGGGAGGAATAAGGACTACAAGGTTGACCAATTTTGGGGGGATTAAGCTGAGAGAAAAAATGAGCCAGCAAATGAGAAAGAAGGGTCACAATAGGCTTTGCCCCCTAGGATGGGAGAAAGAGCAAAATATAGAATCAACTGCTAGAGTAATGTGCTTCAGTGGAAGACAGGGGATAGGATATCATACACAAGGGAGAAAAAGAAAAGTCAGTGTATATGGGCATAGATCTAGGCAGATACAAGG